GACCATGGAGAATTTCTTCGTAAAATTGTCCGTTTACAAACCGCAATCCTGCTTTCGAATAAAACCTACACCCCGCTATAATTACTTTAGTAAGCTGTCCAGACCAATCAAAATGTTTTGCGCAATTGTGCAAACGTTAAAACTATTATGTATTGTGACGTCATCAAAAGGCGCAGGCCCCCGAGTCAATCTGGCAGCCCGAGTCAATCTGGTACCTACACCGGGAATCGAACCTGGAACCACTGTGCAGCCCTTGCCCTACTGGTTCCCCACTAATTTTCTCTGACAAACTTCTGAGGACTGCTGGTATTAAATGGCCTGGTGTCTTACTCTAACCTTACAGCTAGATTATTAGTGGATAATAAAATAACTATATAGCTTTGTATGGCATAAATTATGTAAGATCACTAACTTCAGACCAATGCTACAGCCACAGAACTTTTAAAGAATCTCAGAACTTGTCATGAATGAGTAATCACACATTTTAATAATCTTCTTTTTCCTAAAAGTTTTTAATTTAAATTATTTATAGGTCTACTAAAGTAAAAAAAAAAAAGTGAGATTGTGCTCAAATTTTATTGAATAAAAAATAATAAAAAATAAAATATATTCTTGTAAATGTGAATTGTATTAAAAAGGATTGAATATTAAATCTGCTCCTGCTGTTCCTCCACCGCCTGACAGCAAAAAGAAAAAGCGGGTAACCAAATATTCAAAAACAATACGTCATCCCACAATGCACCGCGCTCACGCTCTCCTTTCTGCATTACCTCATCCCATGATCCACCGCGAGACTCAGAATCTTCTCGGTGGTCGTCTAGGCAACACACGCCTTATCGGGCGGAGATCCCTCCGCCTTCGGACACGCCCCTCAGCCAATGGGAGAACAGGCTCATGACATCATGGTTATTTTTAGAGAGGCCGCGGCAGCAGATAAGCTTTGCTCCACGCTGTCTACCTTACAGTTGTATACAGATCCAGGCAGGAGGAACAAGCTGCTCCGCCGCTGTCAGGAGTCTTTCACGCTGAGACTCGCTACAGCTGTGGACACTGTGGGAAAAAACTCAGACAACTTTTACAGGCCTGCCGTTCAAGAGTGAGAAAAGTAAGTTCTGATTCCTGCTTCGCTCTGAGTTTGGGAGAGTTTTTACGCAAAGAAAAGGACTTTTGGAAGCCAGGAAGGAGACAAGAGAAGTTTGTTTAGTAGAAGACTCTGTCACAGCGTCCCCATCTTCTTCTTCTTCTATGTATACCAAGATGGAAACTACTTTCTATGACGACTCACTCAACGCTTTCTCCCAGAGCGACAACCCCGGCTTCGGATTCAGCAACCCCAAAGCGCTGAAACACAGCATGACGCTCAACCTGTCCGACCCCACCTACGCGCAGAAGCCTCACCTGCGCGCCAAAGCCGGCGACATCCTGACCTCTCCGGACGTGGGGCTGCTGAAGCTGGCCTCCCCGGAGCTGGAGCGGCTCATCATCCAGTCCGGGAACGGGCTCATCACCACCACGCCGACCCCGACCCAGTTCCTGTGCCCGAAGAACGTCACCGACGAGCAGGAGGGCTTCGCGGAGGGCTTCGTCCGAGCTCTGGCCGAGCTGCACCATCAGCACATGCCGGCCACCACTAACGCCTCGGCTCAGCAGGTCAGCGTGAACACCGCGCTGCCGCCGGTGGCATCCGTCGCTGGAGCCTCTGGGTATAATAACACTCCCGCCATGCGCGCAGACTCTCCGGTCTATGAGGACCTGAACACTTTCAACCCGGCGATCAGTACCGTGTCTGCGCCGAGCTACACCACCTCAGCGCCGGCCGTGTCCTTCCCCGCGCCTCCTCCTCCTCCTCAGCTCCCGATCTATGGGCAGCCTTCCCCGGCTCACCTCCCCCGGCTCACGGCGCTCAAGGAGGAGCCGCAGACGGTGCCCGAGATGCCAGGGGAGACCCCTCCACTTTCCCCCATCGACATGGAAAGCCAGGAGCGCATTAAGGCGGAGAGGAAGCGCATGAGGAACCGCATCGCAGCTTCCAAGTGCCGGAAGAGGAAACTTGAGCGGATCTCCAGGCTGGAGGAGAAGGTGAAGACGCTCAAGTCCCAAAACTCGGAGCTGGCGTCCACCGCCAACATGCTGCGGGAGCAGGTGGCCCAGCTGAAGCAGAAAGTGATGAACCACGTCAACAGCGGCTGCCAGCTCATGTTGACGCAGCAGCTGCAGACCTTCTGAGGCGCAGAGGCTGAAGCTGAAAGAGACGGACGCTTCCTGTGATGGTTTGTCTCCCCCGAGAACATCCCGATGGGATTTGGGAGGATGTTGCGGCGACACTGGCAGAATCAGGGGAGCGAGCGCAATGAAGTGCCACGCACTGCCCTGTGGCGCGTCCTGGAAATGGAGCTCAGGACAGTTGGAGCAAACATAAACCAGAGAGGACATGCATCAACTGAACTGAAGATTTTCTTGATTTATCCACTGCTCTGCATGGACTTTGCCATTCCCATCCAAGGAGAAGTTCAGTATTAGGACTTGAGAGACTTTTCTTGCTGTAGCCATATTTTTTGGGCGTGTTGTCAACGCTAAACAAAGTTTTAACAGATGCTGTCGACCTCTGAGTTACAGTTCAAAATACCATTTTCTTAATTGTAAGAAATTAAGTTAGAAAAATCTTCAAGAATTTCTTGTTTTTTTTCTAAAGCTGTTTAATGGGGTTTCACTCATTGCTATATGTATATAAGATCAACTCGGAGTACTTATGTTTACTATTTGTAATAAGGAAACTGTATAATGTTTTTTTTTATTGCTTGTTTTCTGAGCACTTCAGAAATGAAATATTTAAGAAAAAATAAACCAAATGAAATGGAGCAACAGTGTCTGTCTTTCTGTGTGTGTTCTTGTGACAGGAGAAAAAAAGTGGGTGTGCCTTGTCAGGAACACAGGAACAATAAAACATGTTGCAACATGTTCAAGAACTGCTAGTTCTAAGAAGCTGGAGGTAAATTCCATTAGTGTTGGTATTGATCCAGGCCCAGAGATTGGGTTACAGCTGACCGGCCAGGCTCACTTCTATTATACTCTGACTCAGCACATACAGTAGAAGGGTGTTTAATAAAAATACAGAAATTATCTAAAAAAAAAATCCCATATGAAAATATGTATGTGCAAAGTATGATCATTGAAATCTCTAAATCACAACTGAACTGACAGATTGTTTAATTACTGCTGCACCTGTCATCTACAAACACTTTTCTTTCTAAAACAGCAATTTCATCACTTGAAAACAATGCCATAACAATTCTTGTGCAACAGATTAAGGAACTGTAGATTATTTACCCTATCTTATATTTAAAGGCTTAGATATTAGGAGAATAAAGGAACTCTCTACGTAGAAGGACAAACAAGTTATCCTATAAAGAAATCCTCCCATAATAAAATACATATATATATTTTTTTTCAAATAAATAATGACCTGGCTGTTTAGCAAACAGATGATTTTGCCTGCTGTAAACATGCCGCTCCAGTGTTATGTAACTTTTTGTCGCTATTAAATGGTCCCAAATTCTTGTGAATACAATCAACCACTAGATGGCGACAGAGACCGAGATAACTTTCTACTTGCGGCGGCTTGTTTGTTTTAATGGGCCCTCATTTGTTTTTCTTCAATTAAAACCATAATATCCTTTAAAACACAGAAAAAACAACACCCCTAACAAACTTAGGTGTGTTTATTTCATTTTCTTAAAGAGGCAGTTCAGATTTTAAAAAGTTGCAGAAGCACTACTGGTAAACATAACAGATACAAGCAAAAACATCT